ACTGCCGTGGGGCCAGTTTGGAGTCCCGGCATTTCCCGGCAGGGGTGGTGTCCCACTGGTGGGGGATATTTAATGGTCGAAAACTCCGCTAGCCGATGGTAGGTCGGCGCTGGATCTTGTCATCCAACGGGCAAAGACAACCTCCTGGGGGAACCCGCTCTACACTTTCGGATCTAATGACCTTGGTAGCTAACACGCCTGGAATTCTAACAATCTATGAATCATAGAAAAAGAAAAAATCTAGCTGCCATCAACAGACGACAAATTCCGCTCTTTTACAGAAGTTCTTCAAAATGCATTATACCCCTGCAAGCTGTAGCATATTTCCGCCCAAATGGCGAAATTTCGCCCAATTAAATATCCTAGTAAGGAAGCTTGCAATCCTTCGTGTAGTATTACATTTCTGGTGAGCTAAACTGACTTTTGAGACTATTCTTGTTACAGTGGTTAATGAAAATAACTGGAATCAAATGGCGGAATTTCGCCGAAGTAGTCCTTCTAGTGAGGAAGCTCGGTAATCTTTCTTGGTCCTATAATACTTATCTAGAGCGCTAAGCCAAATTTTAAAAATGTTTTGTTATAACTTTAAATCAAAATAATCGAAATCAAATGACAGAATTTAGCCTAAGGAAGCACGCAGTACTTGCTGGCGTATCATAATATTTTTTCTGGATCGTTTGACGGAATTTAAAAATATATGGTTCAAACTTTAAATTGTAAATAACGGAAATCAAATTATGAAAATTTGCTTAATCAGACATACGGATAAGGTCGCATGATCGCCAGTACTGCTCGATACTGTCCCGTATGCCGGTCATTACAGGTGTATTTCATAAATAATTGTTTAATGTATTACTTCAACTCTCATTAAGTTATTTTAAACCTAAAAAATGAAAGTTAAATAAAATTTTAAAAATTGCTTTTGGACAAAAATTCCCATTTATTTTTTGAAAACTTAAAACGGTTACAAATTTCCACTTCAATATCTGACGTCATAGGAGGTTTTGTTCAACAATGATTTTCTCAAATTCTCGTTACAATTTGACTATTGATAAAGAGGAAATTAGAATATAAGACAAAAATTACGTACCTTTTTTATTAACGAGCAGTATAGATAGCTGTAGTCCCAGTAGTAGGAGCAGGAGCAGCAATAATAGTAACAACAATAGTAGTAGAAGTATTAGAAGTAACAGTAGCATTAGTAGCAGAAGCAAGAAGAGCAGGCTATGTACAAACAGTATTTATCCACTCTATCGTTACCAGGGCTCAGTAATACGAGTCTTTCTCTCGAAAACTCCTCGTTTATTTCCGCAGCATCTCAACACTTCATCTATACTGCGTAGCGAGTAACAAGAAAAATAAAAATGGTATTTTGTTTTTTTGCAAAATTACACAAGAATACTGGAAAATGACGATTATGGCATCTTATAAAGTGTATTTAGCAGTATCTCTACCAAACTTTCAAAAAATTATTTTGAACCATCTTTGAGAAAAGGTTATTTTTAATTTTTTTTAATTACCCACATGCGATTCAAGACTGTTCCAAAACAACTGAAGTTTTCAAAACAAATACATTGCATTAATGAAAGATATACTTGTAAAGAACAAATTTTACTTGAGGAAAAAATTGCTATCGACAATATTGAGTTGTTCAGTTTTATAATTTTCAAATATCCAGACTGAAAACTGGACATTTTTATAAGAATATCTCACTCTACATCTTCTAATAACTCAAAGAAACGTTTTTGAGGCATTTTTGAGAAATTTTGAAAATTTTCAAGGGTTTTATGTAAATTACCAACAAATTTAAGAGATATTTTTCAAAACGCATAGCATCAAGTCAGGCAAGGTTTTCTGACAAATATCCATTTTGGAAAAAATTCTCCGAATAGTTTTGGCGCTTGTTTGTTCACAGACGGACGGACGTTTAGACATGAACCACTTTTCTGAGAACAATGGCCCACAATTAGTTTCTGGTTACAGAACGTTGAGAGGAAGTTATATTGTACATATTGGAACAATAATTACCTATTTTTCTATAACAAGGTCTCACACACTGAGTTTTTTAATCGAAAAATCCCGTTTTTGCTGCAGCATTACTTTCACTTTCTCTACACCTCGTAAATGCGCTCTCTCTCTCTCTGTGTCAGTCTCTCTTGATTTTTTTTTATGTCTCTCTGTCTCTCTGTTCTCTCTTTCTCTTCTTTTCTCTCTTTCTCTCTTTTCTCTCTTTCTCTCTTTCTCTCTTTTCTCTCTTTCTCTCTTTCTTCTTCTTTCTCTCTTTCTCTCTTTCTCTCTTTCTCTCTTTCTCTCTTTTCTCTCTTTCTCTCTTTCTCTCTTTCTCTCTTCTCTCTTTCTCTCTTTCTCTCTTTCTCTCTTTCTCTTTCTTTCTCTTCTTTCTCTCTTTCTCTTCTTTCTTTCTCTTTCTCTCTTTCTCTCTTTTCTCTCTTTCTCTCTTTCTCTCCTTTCTCTCGTTCTCTCTTCCTCTCTTCCTTCTCTTCCTCTCTTTCTCTCTTCCTCTCTTCCTCTCTTCCTCTCTTCTCTCTTCCTCTCTCCTTCTTCTCTCTATCTCTCTTTCTCTCTTCCTCGCTTCCTCTTCTTCCTTCCTTTCCTTCTCCTTCTCTCTTTCTCTCTTTTCTCTTTCTCTCTTTCTCATCTTCTCTCTTCTCTCCTTTCTCTCTTTCTCTCTTTCTTTCTCTCTCTCTTTCTTCTCTCCTCTCTCTCCTCTCTCTTCATTATAATAATAATAGTATATATATATATATATATATATATATATATATATATATATACGTACGTACATGAGAAAAAATGATATCTTGCCGGGAAATTGGAAAGACTGATGAATGGGACCTTTCCCTCTCGTGGAAATAAATGTCTTGATAAGATGTCGGTACTGTTGCATGACCAGCAAATATGATTTATGACTTCACTCACGATGACCACACTGAGTTTGTCATAATATATAGCAGAATTTACTTATGACTTATGATAAACAATGTGATCAGTAAATTGCTCCAATCTTTTTAGAATTGTTGATCGGCATTTTTGTTTATTATTGATTTTAAATTCGAGAAATTATTTTTACAACAATGCCGGTGTCCCCTTAAGTATTTAGTGAGTATTAATCTAATTTTGTTATTACACCATTCTTTGCAAAGGTTCGACAATAATGTACCTATGTTAATTCAATTCAGTAATCAGATAATGCCTTACTTTCCATGGCGAGGCTCGGGCCTGCTCTTCCACCTGACCACGCAACTTCGACTACGCTTCTGTCACCGTCTGGCAGAGGACACTTCTCGACGAAACCGGCGATTTTTAATTGTGTTCAGAGGATGCTTTTAGGCTTGAGTTCTCATAATTGTTTCGCCTACAGCTAATGCTGATGAAATATTTTGATAAAAGCATACTTACTATTAATGTATTGTAAAACGTTCCTCAAGCCCGGTCATTTTAACACGAAATTAATTCAGTTCTCTTTCCTTACAAAAATTTAAAGAAAGTAAAAGCTGAACCGGCAAAAGTGTTTCCAATAGTTATTTATGTATCCAGAGCGTAAAGTAGATATTTTGGCCCAAGGGCGACCTCCAACCCTTCAGGCCAGGTAGTTAGAAGTCGCCAGAGGGCAAAATCTTCTAACAACACCCGTAGTGCATACCAAACGTTATGGTTTACTTCTTCGTTTGTGAATCAAATGAGATTTCGGAACAGTTTACAATTTTCTTGCGTCTAAAGTGGAAAGACGCATTGTACTCATTTGTCAATAGGACGGCAGATAAATAAAACATAGTATGTATCTAATTACTATTGCATAATCGTTGTTGGGCTGATTTGTTTGTACAAAATGAAAGAATATTGTGATGTTCCTCCGAAAATTCTTGCAAAAACTAACAAAGCTACGGACAGTGGTTTCCAGTAAAGTCTCTAGAAATGTATGAAAATGATTATGGTGTATTTGAGAGTTATGTGGAAAATAAGTGTGAATTGCGCTGATGAAACGATACTTTTAGGTAATTTGCCTCTATTGCCAAAAGTTATTTTGAATATTTCATATCATAAAAAATAACATTTCCTGAATGTTACCCGATGTGCCTTATACATCTTTTTACTTCTAGAATTACTGCAACTCAAGAAGCATACATGTTTCTAAAAAATGTAAGAAGCACTGAGTGATTGATGATAATTGTAAATTCACGGAACTTTATTTATTTTTATTTATTTATTTTTATTTATTTACTTTTATTTATTTATTTATTTAATTTGACGTCAAAAACAAAAGCTGTGTGACGTACTACGGGAGGAAGCGTCCTCCTGTCCCCGGGAACATTCCAAAATTGCAATTTTCATATAAATTATCCAAAATAAGGTTTATAGCAAGATATTTTACTTATTTGAGCATTATGCCACTTATTTATTGCATTTGGTTGTATCTTAACTTTAATAAATCATAAAAATGTATTCGTTGTTGGTGTTAGAGCAGGCCAAACAGTATTCCAAATGCCCGCGTGGGCATAAAGAATCAGAATGGCTCGCAAGGGTATTAACAATGGCGTTACGTGTCTTATTTCAGGTCCGTAGACACACAGCAGTGAGTTAGTAAACTACAAAAAATATTTGATGTACAATATTTGACAATGCCAGGGATGTGGCATCTGGATTCAATCAATGACATCCTAACTATTGAGCCACAACATGGAAGAGAAAATGCCACAAATAAGTTGCATTAAATTTTAGAAAATTTGTCTACGAAAAGTCTGTCTACGAAAAAACTATGCTTTTATAAGTGACACGAAAGTTGAACCTGACACAGAAATGACAACAACCACAATTAGTATTCAAAGAAGAATTGTAGTCTGTGCAGGTTGTACAGTACTGTATCTTGTCCACATTTTCTATGGTGATAATAACCCCCTATTGTACAGATAATATTTTCCCCTTTTGTACAGAAATACAAAATAGCCTAATAATACAAGTAATATATTGTCTTTGTGTTTTAGTTTGAATATATTTCCTGACTTTGTTTCCCTACAAGTTCGTAAATCCGCGTTAAAGTTGCGATATTTCACGCGGGGATGGCTCATCGCAGCGTGTGGTGCCTCCCCCGGCGACCGCGGGTGTTTTCTCAGACGCTTCCTTATCTGCGAGCGCCCGCACCTGGCCACCTCCGCCCCGCGCCCCGCGCCCGCGGAGGCTGGGAGGGGCGAGGCGGGGCGGGGCGGGGCGGGGCAAGGCGGGGTGCGGGTGGGGGCGGGCGCGACGTTAGCGTCTCGGGCGAGCGAAGCCACACGGCCGTCGCCGCCGCGCCGAGAGGGCGATGGCTCCACCGCCGCTGCCGCTGACGCCGCTGCTGGCGCTGGCGCTGACGCTCGCAGGCGCAGGCAGCGCTCTCTGGCTCCCGCCCGGCTCTCAGCCCCTGTGCCACTTCGAGCTGCCCTCCGAGGCGCGGTGCTCGCTGCAGGTGCGTTCGCTCACTGTGTAGCCATTTCAGCGTTTGCGTCAAATGTGTTCTCCTTTTTACCATATTCACCTAATTGAGCCTGAGATTCCAACACTAACCGGGTATTCTAATTATAACCTATTTACATAGCAAAGTTGTCAGTTACAACGTGACTGAGTACGAGGCAGGACCTAGTCAGATTCAACGCGACTGAGAAGTCCGCCGACGCTTACAATTGGACGCTAGGGATTCTCCTGCTCCACTACCTCACGTTGCCGCCATAGTTTTACATTGTGCCTGAAATGTAAACGAATTATTTGTATTGTTAAATGATTAATACTCTGCTCCACGCAGAACCAATGAAAAGGCGTTTACTCGCTCGCTGTTCGTGCATGTCCTGGTCTCGGAAGAAAAAAATATCACGGAAACAAGAAAATATGTGCGTCACAATACAATATCTTCGCATAATATTTGTGGCAATACGTTAGGTAATATCCCAAATTATAACATGAAACAAAACTAACGAGGAAGTTTCGACAAAGAAATAAAAATAATTTGATTTAATAACTATTTTGTAAAGTAAACATTTTGATAAAATGAAATTAGACATAGAAATAAATCAAAGGAGAGAATTCTTCGGATATTGGCAACTATCACAGATGTGGCCCAGTTTTTGATAGAATAGTATTTGTCATTGTTTTCTATGTGATCAATTTCCATGATCACTATTTGACGTGGACACAAAATATCCATTCAAAACCAGACCTTAGTTGGTTCAGATCGGGGTGCGAGGCCAGATATCGACAATATCTACTTTATCAGAAAACGTAGCTCTGCGCTGAAGAAAGTCTCTTCTGAACCGAGTGATAATGATGTTTACTGAGTGGCGATACATCCTGTTTCTTCCCAATACATCTGCGTTAGCTGAAATTCTGGTGATAGTGTTGCTTACCATCACATTGTAGAGTTACATAAACAAGTATTTTTTCAAAACCGGCTCTATTTTTTTCTCGAATATGGCAAAGAACGTACCTAAAAAGACCCGGGACCCATTTTCCATTACCATTCTGCAGTTTAGCGAATTGCAAAAATTAACATTACAAAACTGCAATATTGATAACATTTTTTGTTAATGAAATCTGTTCTTCAAAATTAGATGTTTAAATTAGGTTATGTCCAATGTTTTGAAAATCAGTGGTTTTTTGCTATTTTTGAGTTTAATAATGATAAAGTTTAAATGTTTATCAAACCAGTTAATACAGGTTTGATAAACATTTAAACTTTGTCATGCTTTGCGTCAAACTTTGCCATGTCATGCCTTGTCAAACTTTGTCATGTCTGCGCCTTGAATCTTGAACCTAGTAATTGATTTATCAATGCTGTCTATTTCTCAATTTTCAATCTTTAAATCATTCCGTACGGTTTTTTTCGAAACGGGTAGTGTTTTTCGTTATTTTTGTGATTTTTTTTAGAAATGTCAATGTTGCAGTTCTATTGCCGGAAAAATAAACAAAAACATTGGTATTCAATTATCCTGAGACTGTCATTGTGATTTCTGTATTTAGATTTTCAGTCCAGATTTATATTAGACATTAATTTTGAATTAAACATATTGAAACCAAAAACACACTAATCTGAAACCACAATTCCGATTGAATAGTTTTATTAAAATGTTTTCTTTATTTTAAAGGTTTGATTATCCCAACATTACAAGAACTACTTTTCCACTTCTTCAGGGGTCTAAATTTAATATCAACAGAAATTATTATTAAACAGTTGAATTTTGTAACATTAAATTATAGTCATAGTTATATAAAACAAATTTAAAATGTTTAAATATGTACTAGGTACAAATGAACTCACCTTAAATAAATTGTCATAGGGAGAAAGCTATGTAATTACTGGGCGAAAACGGCGAATTTTTGCCTGAAAAACTCTTATTGCCGAGCCCTGATCGATGGATAGGGAAATATAGATTTTGGAGGAAATCAGCCGAACGGTTTAGGCACTAGCATTGACCAGACTGACAGACGGACGGGCAGACAGATCTTTTGCCTTCATTCAATTTCTCGCAATCAAGGACCCCCCAAAAAAGGATTTTGGCTACACCACTTTAGGGAATTTTTTCTAAATTTAGCAACTGGATTTATCAACTTTTTCATTATCGGCACATTATAATAGGAGTTTGTCTGCCGAAAATTCGCAGTCTTTTCGCGCAGCTTTACAGAACTTTCTCTCCACTGCATACGTAGTAACGAGGAAGTATTATTGAAGACTGATATTATATTTAAAAGAAATTATTCTTTAAAGATTTTCATATAAGTTCATGTTCAAGTTTTCTAAAATAGTTTCCGTGACATTTTTCGCGAAATAAAGACAGTAAAAACTGTTTTAACAATTTTTTTCAATTTTACTCAAAATCGCTCCAATTTTTTCTTCAAATTTATTCGTCATATGTAATACATGGTAAAACAAAAGGCGCTAGTCCCATTTTCGGCTATCTTTCCGTTTTATTTTTTCAATCAACTTTACATGACCTTTTTAACGAGTTTCTTAGAACAGATTTTGTTTAAAATCAAATTCTCTACATTACATTTTTTAACTTTGAAATGTTAACTTTTGGCAATTTTGGACAAAAAGGCGAGTAGCCGAAAATGGGTCTAGCACCATATTTTTTACCATCCTTTATTATATATGAGGAGAAAATTTAAAGAAAAATTTGAAGCGTGTTTTTTTATTTTTTTTTATTTTTTTTTTATTTTTTTGAGAAAAATTATTACTTTTTTTAATTGTCTATATTTTGCTCAAAATTTACACAAAAGCTTCTCATATTTTCAAATAATTGAACACGACCTTATTTCAAGATTTATTTTTAAACAACAGATTTCATTAGGAAAAAATATCCAACTTCAATATTTTAGTTGTAGGAAGACGCCGAAATATTTTTTGCAATTTTCGCAAAATCAGGAATTTTAACTTAAAGATTCGAGCCGATGCAAGTCATGTGTATACCCTGGCTAGGAGTGTATAATGCCTTAATGATCACGGCTAAATCGCCATCTGGCATTTAGTAATGAAAGAACGAGCTTAATGTACGCACTATTGCGCATCAACGAAAAAGGTCTGAGATTTACAATGGGGGACTATGGCAGTTATTGTCTTAATCTGCTAATAAAACGTGACCCAATTCCCCAAGATGTTTTGCTATTGAATGGTATTTCGTATTCTGCGTGTATAATCCATCGCAACAACAGTGTGCAACAGTGAAGAAAGTGATATGTTTCTTATAAAAGACAAGAAAATCACAATAGCATGTGAAAATATTAAAAAGCTGTGCGAAAAACATTATCACACATTTGCTAATCATGTTTGTATCGTAAGCTCGCTTATCTGGAAAATTGTGAATATGATTTTTTAAGTAAATAAATTATAATTTGTCGAACATGACTTTGTTGACTTATGTTGGAATTCAAGTTATTAGGAATAAAGATAATTTTGGTATAATTTCGAGAGTACATTACGCAGAGTATCAAAGACCCGGCATATGCTTTCGTGATGTTTCCCAAATCCACGTACCCTAGGGTTAAGAAAACTAATTTTGTGTTCATGAGGAATTAATAGAAGTAATATTATTAATGTTATTCTGCTTTTTTTCACAGGCAACTGCAACTGGTCTATGTAAAGTACAAATGTTACCACGAGGCAAGTAGTGACTTATTTACATTTTAAATTAAGGTGAAACCCACAAAATAATGTTTTATAGAAATTTTATTTTAAAGAAACGAATTGAATAATGATTTTGCTCAAATATATTAATCTCTTATCTCACGTGGGTGCATTGTGATGAGCACATTTGTGAAATGCAGGTTATATTTTACTTTCCCGCATACCGCTTACCCAGTAGAGAGAAAGTATAGTAATGCTGCGGGAAAACTGTAACTTTATGACAAAGAAACTCGTTCTGTCTGGCCATAACGAAAACTTGTATACATCTTCTTCCTTTAGGTAACAATTGCTTTCATTAATACGTTGCATAGTCAGAATCCATATTTTGTTCTTGATATCGAAAAAAAATTGTCTTTTTGTGGCGATTACTATCTTTTTGTGACTGAAGACTTATACTGAAGATTAATACAGACAGAAGTTTTTTGGGTAGGAGAGAACTGACTAAATTAATGGGAGAATGAAATGATCCTCTTAAAAGTACGAGAATAGTTTTCTGAAAAAAAATAACTTTTTCAAGATATATTGAATAAAAATTCATCATTTGGTCGGGTGTGACATATCGTATGCTTACAAGGAAAACCCGCTAACTTCTCACTTCTCAAAACTTACTTTTCAGATAATTGATTTTGTAAGTTTCAAGGGCTCTGAAAAATCAAAATCACATAAAATTATTTTTATCACATTAATATTATCGTAAATTCTTAGAGAGAGGGAGAGCGAGAGCGAGAGAGAGAGAGAGAGAGA